CTATGGTCCCAGTCCAAATTAGGGAGTGAGGAGTGTCCCTCTGACTGCTTCCCCTTCCCCCCCGTGAGCCCCAGCTGCAGTATATGGGTAATTATATGAAGTTTTAGATTTTAAAATCTAAATATGATTTTAGATTTTAAAATCAGCAACAATCTTTTGCTTTCTTATATATAAAGAGTGCTTTTTTGTAAGAAAAAAGGTGCCGGAACTCACATCTTGTTCATCTTTTATTTAAAAAATTATATATTCAGTTCTTAACAGAAATTTAATTTATTGTATTTAAGGCAAATGTTCATAGTAAATTCCAAAGTTTTGTCCAATTCTCATCCGACAAATCTTCTCGACTCTTTTTCCTGCTGTTAGTATCTATGTGTTCTGTCATTGTGTCTGTTAATATTCTGGCCTTTTTATTAGCAGGACCAGTGGTTGAGAAGTAATTAGTAATTTTTTTCATTTTTAAATTTGGGGTCTTTTACACTAAATTTGGGGTCTTTTACACACTTTTACACTAAAAATTAAAAAAAGATTTTCAATTTGCCAACATATTTTTAAAATAAAGAAATTATTTACCTTTCTCACATAGTCAATCACTGTACACACACGCACACACTGCAGTTGTGTAATGAAACATAATGCTTGCCGCCCACAGTAAGCACTCAGTGAGTGGCCACACAACCAATCACAAGCCGAGCAGTACCACAAGCCGAGCAGCGCCATCACAACCAGCATGGATGAAGTACGCATGCATCAGACTCGACACACAAGCAGTCTGCATGCACCGTTTTAATGATTTTGCCACCGACCTGCTATGCTCGACAGGCGATTCAAATCCACGTGGACCAAACATCAAATTTTCAAAAGTTACTTTTAAAACTTGGAAAATCCATCAAAAAAAGGTTCCGGAATGCCATTCCAGTGCGTTCTATGACAAAAAAAGCACTGTATATAAAAGTGTGTATGTGGGGCAGGGGAGGCTACGGATTCCCAAATACAATAGAGAATGTGGAAATATGCCCTGAGTTTTCATTTCCTTGGATTCAAATTCTCTTCTTCCCACATTGTATAAGATTAAGATTTTAATGTTTATAATTCATTATGTGAGGAAGGGATTACTGCTTTCTACATTTATTTATTTCTAGGAATAAAGAGGCGCATTTCTTGCTGTGAAGTATTGCATGTCTTTTCCTGTTTGTTCTCTCCATAAAAATAATGTGCCTACATCATCATGGCCTACAGCTCACTGGAGCATTTTTTCCCCTTCTAGAGAGAACGGGTACTAAAATGGCCCATTTTTTTCCTATTTTAGAATTTTGCCAATCAAATGGAGCCACATTGTGAATAATCTATGTGGTTAAGCACATTTTATGCAAGTTCAGGACATCAGGCACCTGTAGGTAATGATGCTCTGTTGAAACAGAGGGGTAGGCCCATTGTATGCCAGCATCACAATCACCACTAAGCAAGGCACATGCAACATTTAACCCCAAATGACTAATAATGTGAGAATAATGCCCAGGTCAAGTCTCTGTGTCTTAATAGTCATTAGCAACGTGAAGTTCAGGATCCTATGCATTATTGCTGTGGGTCTAAGAATATTATTGAATATTATTGAATGCATAAGGTGAAAAGAAAGTGGCAGCTGGTAATAATTCTTTTTCAGTGATGTGAGAATTGTTCCTGGGGCACTAGCAATGTGCGTCTGCCAATTTCACACTCCTTGAGCCAAGTGCTTAGTGTCAAAACCAGGAATAGTCAGTAATGCAAATAGCTGTGATGAATCACACACCTGACTCCTGCTTTTCTTCCTCTCCTGTGTCATCTGACACAACCAGCATATTCAGTATGCATCGCTGTTGGGAATGCTTTGTATCTTTCTGATTCAGGGCTGGTGAACCTGCTCATGGATTAGGAAGCCCTTCGGATGTCATTGGATGATAAGACCCATCTATCCTGAACACTGGGGAATGTTGGCTGGGACTGATGGGAGTTGAAATACAACAATGTTTGAAGGGGGGGCATCCTAATCTAAGTTCTGCAATGAGTAAAGGTACCCCAGTTGTTCCTGTATAGCGCTCCATGCACATTTGCAGGGCTTTGCTACTTGCATTATTAGGAAGGTACTTGGAACTCCTTTGTCAGCAGCCAGTATGCTGCTGTGAGAAAAGAGTGCTGGGTAGTGGAACAGCATCTCAGCCACTGGCAAATCCATTCCTAGAACTTTCACTTCCTCCTGTGAATGTACAAAATGGTCTCCCATATTTGTTTTTTTTTTAAATCTCAACTTTTTCCATCCTGTTTATGTAGACTAGGTGTGTTGAACCTCTTTCCTCCTGAGGGCTGAATTTCATCTGAGAGAAACTCTTGTACTGGGCAGAGTTGGAGGCAAAGGGTGTAAGGGCTAAAGACAAAATGGGACAGGTCAAAGTATCAGCATGTTTCAGCTTCAAGCTTTTACTGCCTGCAGTGAAGTTTTTTAGAAAGTGCACAAAAGAAAAGAAACCACCAAACAATATGTGTCTAAGTTTTCTCCATCCTTTCTCCATACCTTTCTCAGTGCTTCTGGGTTCACAACCCTATGTGTGTGTGTGTGGGTGTGTGGGCGCACGTGTGCATGGCATGCGTGTGTGTGCATGTCTGTGTGTGTGCACGCACATGCATGTATGTATGTGTGCATGCACATGGTGTGCAGAGAGCAGGAATTATCCCCACTCATGGGTCTGTTTTGGTAGAGGCCTGCCAGGCAGTGATTCCTAGTGCAAAGTTCAACTTACAAGACTCAAGTATATTTTTAAAGTCTGCATCGAATGTGAACATAACTGAAAATGACACCACCAAGCCAAACAGAGAGCTCATTTTTGCTGTTCATTTTTCTCCACATGGTCATTCTCGGGCGAGCATGTGCCACTGATGGCATGTGGAAAGTACCATGTGAGTCAGTGGTAGGAAAGTATAAATGGCAGTGTGTGGGGTTTTTAAAAATCACAGCAGGACTTCATATAGCCAACAGACCCCAACAAAGTCCACCTGTGTGGTGGCATTTCACACAGAATGTGTAGGATCAGGCCTGCTGCTATCAAGGATCAGATTGTGAAGATGAGCTAGATGGAGGAAGAGGAGGGTTGGAACGCATTACTAAAATGCTAAAGCTAATGAGTGAGGTTAGTAAAGGCTAGAGGGTCATACAAGCAGGCCCATTAAGTACTCTCTAGTGTCCCTGCCATCTGGGCAACAGGCAGCATGAACCTCCCTGAGGGTGGAGTGAATCTCTTTTGGAAGAAAAGGAAGAAGGGGGATTCAGGTTGGAATCAACACCTGACATGTGTCAGCAAGGGCTAACCCCACCAACTAAGAGACCACTACGTTGATAGATGCTACCTGTTGACAACATTATTATTACTCACTCTGTAATGCAGAGCTAGCCTAGCTCAAGACAGGACTATATCTTAGAAGTGTTTTGCCTTGGCCTGCTGTAAAGGGAAAGATGTGCTCACAACAGTCTCTTTCTCCACATGGTTTGATCCTTCGAGACAAATCTGATAAGGGCCAGTAATGGCAGGGATAACCTTTAGAATGAAGCAGAATAAAATATTTTATTATAATCATTTTGTCAGGATTCTACTTTTATTTGGAAAGTTACATGCTGTAGGCTTGTCAGAAGCAAGCAGTGATGAAATGGAAATTAATATACAGCATGTCTAAAATCAACTTGTTTAGCCAGCCTGGGCAAGCTCTACTATTTGGCAGAGGGAGCCGGTTGCTTCAAGCAGCTATTCTGGGTATCTTGAAAGGGAAATAAAGACTGTTGCTCTATTTTTACTGCCAGGGAGGGAGAGAGGCTGCTGTGGGATTTTCTGCCCCAATTGCCAAAACAACTTGGCTGGCCATGGGTACTTTGCACCTTGATTTGGCAGGAGGGAGATGCTATTTGCTGTTCTGCCTCAGGCAGCGAATGTCTTGGGCTAACACTGATCTCTGCCAGCTGTCAAGATAGTATTGCACTATAGTAGGGCTCAGCAACTAGTGGCCTTCCAGAAGCTGTTGCACTGCAGCTCTCGTCTTCCCTCACCATTGGCTATGCTGGCTAGGGATGTAGGGCGTTGCAGCTCAGCAAGGCCTGGAAGGCTACAGGTTGCCCACCCTGTATTCTAGCATGACCCATCTAGGAGAGACCTTCTAAATAAGAGCAGGTTTTATTGTTCATGGCTGGAGTCATCAGCAGGTCTCTGCCACAATGGTGCCAATAAATGGGCCCCTTAAATATGTTTGTTTGTTTGTTTGTTTGTTTGTTTAAAGTAGTTTTACCCCATCCTTAACAAATGGCTCAGGACAGCTTACAACATAAATATATATCCCACATTTAAGTGAATACATTACCAATTTAAGTGAAATGCTTGCCGTAATATACTGCAAGGGCTGCTGCCAGGGAGGCTTATTTTATACTGTATTTTTGTATTTTTAATCTAATGTTTATATTTTTTTAAATTTAAGATTATAATTATTTTAATTTATTGTTGTAAGCCGCCCCAAGGCTTCAGCGAATGGGGCGGCATAAAAATGTTTTAATAAATAAAATAAATAAAATACTGGGGATTCCTCAGCAGCACAGAGGAAAGTACCATGTAATACACAGACCCACACTGCATTGCCCGTGGGTTCTTTCTCCACACATAATTGTGCTTGCCATGCAGGCACCATCCATCAAGGTGGCAAACGTTTTGCAAGGGTGAAAAATAAGCACTGGTTCTATCTTTTCCACAGAAAAGCTTGCTGACAAAGCCATCCTCACAGCAGGCCTTTTGAATGGTCCTGATTTGAGGTGATCAGTAAACCAAGTAGTCTGGGGGAATGACTACAGCAAAAGGCTGCAGAACTAGGATTCATTAATATGCCTTATTTCATTTCCCAGAACTACAGTAAAGATCAAGTAGTGTGCCATTCTTGTTCTGCAAAATGTTAGGGTTGCTGCAGTTTTAATCTTATTTTTCTTACCGTCTGCTTAGCTTTTAGAGGATACTTAGCTCGCAAAAATTATGCAAGAATGAAGAACAGCACTGACTACACAACCGAAACTGAGTCTGTGAGCTTTGCTTCCAGTCTGAGTTGTGAAGAAAACTGGTAAGTTGAAATTGCCTTGTCCAAAGAGAACTGAGGGGAAAATATGTGGAAGCAAATGCCTCCAGTTGCCTCACTGGGCTGCATAACAGTTTGAATAGTGGGAAACCTAAGGATGCTCCTAAGTGATTCCTCAGAAGGGAGGTGCAACCAGTCCAGATCCCAGGATGTCCCTGTGAGTACATTTTTGCAAACATACATGTGGTCCATTCACACGTGCAGTTTTCTAATGTAACCATTAAAAAAGTAATATGCCACAGCCTCTTAAAAGCTCCCATTCTATAAACCAAGGTGGCAGTAGCAACTCAGGCTTGGGGGCTCACTGCACCCTGCCTGAGATCCCCTGGTAGATACGCATACTTTTCCTCAACCACTGATCATTGTGGTTTTCAGCTTTTATGCAACTGCTCCCCTTTCTAAAAGATAGAAATCGCTCTCTTAAAGCTTTGTTACTGGTAGTTACTAAGCTAAAGTATATGGGTAGTGCTTTTTTAGTTTCTCTTCACCACAGGCTTTGATATCAATCCTTATTTTATCAACTGCTTATATCAAAAGCTGAAAATCACTTTTATGTGGTGGCACCTTTGCTCAAGGGCTGTTATGTGTGCAGGCTTCCTAATGTGCAGATCAGACCAATCTCATGGAGAATCTCTGAACCAGAGCTGTACAGACCACCTATACTATGGGTTCTCAAACTACGGCCTGGGGGCCGGATCTGGCCCGCCATGCCCATTTGGACCCACCGCATGCGCCCGCCCGCCGCCGCCCACCTTGCCTTGCGCGCGGGGAGGCAGCAGTTTGCTCACTCGGAGAAAATTATCTTCAAGCAGGCAAGCTGCTGCTTCGTGCCTGCCTCGTGGCACATGCCCGCCTGCGCCTCGCCTCCCCTCACCATGCGCGCCCGCCCCCACCTCAGTGCGCCACCTGCACATGCTGCCCTTGCCCCTGCCCCCGTGCCGGCCCACGTGCACCGATGGCACCACCTTTCTGGCCCGCGCCCAGCACTGGCACCTTTCACCTGGCCCCCTGGTGAAAAAGTTTGAGGACCCCTGACCTATACAAAATCCTGTTAGGTTAGTCCATGTAGTAAGCAGCTTACAAATGTTATGAACTTCACCTAGAGCTGCTGCCACATACTGGTTTTAGCACATCTCTCCACAATGGGGAATATGCCCTTTGAACCTGCCCCGGAGGCCTCACATTAATCTGCTTTGTCTTCATTTCCACACTTTGAATCACTGCCCAGATCATACATTTTTCCAGCAGGAGAGGCAGTAGGACCCATAGCTTCTAAAGCCACCATATAGGATGGTTTGGTTAATCTTTCTTGGTGTGGGCAACAATTTGCATTTCATGCACATATTGCTGTTTCACAGCCTTGTCTGGTAAGGCTCTCTGGTGTTTGTTTTTTCCATGTAACTATTTCCTTAATTCAGAGCTTCACTGTAGCTTTGCTCTGTGTGGCCATGCTTCAAAGAGCTAATTACTTTAAAAGCCAGGTTTCTCTACTGCTATGTATCAGTCTTATGCTATGTTGTATATATGTATCTGTTGTGTTAAATCTAGAGAGCATTGTTGCCTGCAATTGCCAGATGTAAGCTTGTGGTCAGTGTGATCTGGAAGGTTGATTTGTGGATTTTTGAGCATGGACTATAATGACTTGGCTTCAGTGAGAGTGGGGGATAACAAAAGCTTGTATCCCAAGTTATTCTAACTTCACTCCCATTTGTGTCAAGGGGTTTACTCTAAGAAGTACTAGCACTGGATGCAACCCAAATGTTTCACAGGAAATCCTTGCTTTCTAGTTTTGCTTAGCATAATGAAAGTCTCACATCCACATATGGCTGCTGTTAAGCATATGGCTGTTGAGTCATGGAGGAAACAGGAAGCATGTTGAATCCTTCAGTGCTTAATTTAGTTGCCTTGATATGTCCATGCAGTCCTATGGACATGAAGTTGTATTAGATCAAGATTACATTCCAAGCTTAGTTCAGGAGACATGCAGTGTCAACAAATAAGTAGTCAACCTGAGGCTCAACAAGAAGTAGGCTGGCCTCAAAAAAATGGGATTAACCCTCCTCAAAATAGTCATGGTCTGTAGCTGTACAGTTTAGGGGAGGGGAGGGGAGGGGAGAAAGAGTTGGAAGGGGCCTATAAGATTATCAAGTTCAATCTCCTTCTCCACTTCCATATGAAGTCACCCATCCAGCTGCAGGCCTGGGCTTTTTCCAGCTGAGGAGAGGAGACTTGACATGCTTACTCAATGTATGGTGAGTTTGAAAAGCCTCACAACATTGTTGTAAGCAGCCCTTCTATTGAGTGGTATGGAAAACAAATACATAAATAAAATCTAGCAAATAATAGGCTTACTGCAAATTTATACTGAACATGGACTCTTTAAGATGCTATTAACTGCCCCTTTAATTGGATTCAGGAATAGCAAAAGTGTGAAATTAACAGATGGTGACTGATATTCAGCATTTTCTTCCACCAGGAAGTGGTATATGAACATAAGAAGAGCCTTTGCCTGTCTGGACACAAGGCCTGCCTAGACTGCCAGTCTGTTTCTGAGAATGGCTGACTAGCTAAGAACATAAGAACAAGAAGGGCCCATCTAGTCCAGCATTCTTTTCCTGTGCTGGCAAACTAGCTTTTGTGGGTAGTCCATGAACAGGATATGTGTTCTGCAGTACTGGAGGTAGTAGTTAGCCATCACAACTAGGAACCATTAATAGATTTATCCTCTGTGAATTTGTCTTCCCCTTTAAAGCTATCCAGGTTGGGCTCCACTGCTACATTTTGTAGTAATTCTGGGTAGTGGCCCATAATTTAACTATATGCTGTGTAAAGAGGTACTTCTTTCTGTCTCTGCTGAATCTTCCACTGTTCAGCTTCCTTGGAAGACCTCAGCCCAGGTGTTGAGAGAGAGAGAGAGAGAGAGAGAGAGAGAGAGAGAGAGAGAGAGAGAGAACCGCCTAACCATTTTCAGCACACCATGTATAGACCTTAAATACCTCTCTCATGTACTTTCTCATACTTTTTCTAAATTTCGAGGTCCCAAATGTTACCACCTTTCCTCTCAGAAGAGATGCTCTTTCCTGTATCTTTTCTAGCTCCACAATATCTTTTGATTTATGATCAGAGCTATGCAAAATATTCAAATAGGGCCACACCACAAATTTGTATAAAGGTACAATTATATTGGCAGTTTAAGTTTTGGTTCCTTCTCTAATCATGCCCGACACGGAATTTGCCATTTTCACAGCAACTGCACACTGGGTCAACTTTTCCATCAGGCTGTCCACTACTGCCCCAAGTCATCATTAGACTCCATCTCCATATTTATGAAGCAGTGTGCATCTTTACATTTCCTTTCAATTCATTGTATTTGCCACTTGGATGCCCATTTCCTGTGTTTGGAGGGAATGTTTTGGAACAAAAATGTTCCTTTTTGTTTTAACTATCCCAAATAATTTGATATTGTCAGCAAATCTAGCCACCCCACCACTTTTCCCTAATTCCAGATCAAGTTTAACTTGTTTGTGAAGAAGTTAAAAACCACTAAAATTACAGTATAGTTCAAAGCAGAATAAAAGTAGCTGTCTACAAATGCCCACTGTAAGAAGCGAGATTCCCATTAAAAAGTGAGAAGCAACGGAATGGGGCTGATTTCTGTGGACAGAGGGGTACATTGTTTCAGTGCCATCTGGCTTAGCTAGGCTGGACTTTGTGCTTCCAGGAATAGGCCACAGTTCTGATATCTTTTAGCTGGGAAGCATAGCAGTAAATGTGGCACTCACATTCATCATGGTCAGGTTTCAGTGGGCAAGGGAAGATAAGTTTAGACAAAGCAAAGTCCTCTCTCAGCAAAGTCCAGAACAGGCTAGTGAAGCAGAATCAAGCAGAGGTGATCAGGACCTTGGAGAGATCACTGGCTGCTAGATTCTCATCCGTATTCTTATCAGCAGGGGTGGCCAAATGGAGGCCTGGGAGCCGCATGTGGCTCTTTGAGTCTGCTTTGCAGCTTACCACTCACTGCTGCAGGTGCCCATGGGCCCCCAATTGCTGCTTGCCACCCATAGTCACTTGCTTACCACCTGTTGCTTCCACCTGTGGGCACTCACTTGCAGTTCTCAAACATCTGATATTTACAGTATGTACCTCTTCTGTTGAGCAAGTCTGGCCACTCCTGGTGTATAGCAAGGTGACTGTTGTTTCAGTATGAAGCAAGGACCTTTAGAAAGCTTCTGAAGGTTGGCCATTATGGCAGTACTATAGGCTCCCTTGCTCTTGTGAAGTTACCTTTAGAATAGAAATATTTCAGTACAATTTAAAATGTGTTTCTATCAACTGACTCAATCCTAGAATTTAACTTTCCTGAGACAGATGTTTGGAACATTATGAAAGAAAAGTTACTGCAAGAATTTTCTCATTGTACATGGAGCAGTGGCTTGGATCCTAGATTACATTAACTTAAGGAAGTTATCGTCAGATCCAAGTCTGAACTGGGGTGATTTTTTTCCTCTCCTAGCTCCCAGTCATGCTTTATCCCATGTTACTAAGAAGTCTGCTACCCCATATTTCTTCAGAGGAGTGTAGGTGTCTGTATCAGGGAGAGTGGATAGAGAAACCTACTTTCCATGGACTTTTCAATTTATTTTAGGACTCAAGCCACAGGTATTCAAGGTGATTTCACATCCAGCACTCCTTCCAATTTTAATTAATGTGTGATCAAAACTTTGCTAATGTCCACACATAAAGAAAATCAACTGTTTTCAAAAGTTATGGGTTGCAGAGATATTCTACACTTTAATATTTTTCAGATTTTTCATACAAGGCTTAATGCTGCCCAAGTCTACTTGGACCTCCTGTGTTGGCAAATGGGGTAACATATGCCAAATCCCATCTAAGTGGAAGGCTCCACCACCTGTGATATTAAAAAAAGAGAATATTGCTATTTGTCAGGAGTAATATTCAAGCTATCGTGCTGAACACTCTTGAAATATCTGTTATTTGGAAATAGATTCAAACTGTAATGTTTGGGGCCAGATTTGACATAAATACAAAGATCTGTAAACTTTTTATATTCAGGACTTTTTCTATGATCTGCAGCATTGGAGTCACTTAATATTTTTAAATGACACATGGCCATTTTCCTGCCCTCCCTTCCTCCCTCCTTAGAGCGTCAGGTACCCAGGGAATTTTCCTCTTGTCCACAAGTATTAAAGGTACAGGAATATCCTTCTTTGCCTCTGGTCACCCTCTCGCTCTATCCTTAAACTGCCCCACAATAATTACGATGATACCACTTTAGGGCAGATGGTGGTTCACTTGTGGGTGCCTTCCTTGATATCCTGGAGACCTGCTGCCAGTCATTGTTGGCAATATTGGCTTAGCAAGACCACTGCTCTGACTCTTGTTTGAAGTAACAAGTTTTGCCCAAGCACCATTTGGAGAAAGATATTGCTGGTATTGGGTCAAGGCTGCAGCCTCCTTTCTTAAAGGAGTTTTCTGGCGGTCCTCACCCATTGCCCTGTCAAAACACCCTTTTAAAGTAGCTGGAGTCTCAGGAAAATGTTCAAAACACTGACAAGGTTGAGGATTATCAGCAACAGGGGGAAATGATGAGGCTTTTACCACAAAGTGGGTGCAAAATAATGTTTCGACATGTACCAGGGTTCCACTCAAGATTAAATCAAGAGTGCCCTGACATTAGCCAGATCTGGACCTATGTGTTTTAAGGCACAGATTTACTCTGGACTGGATCCAGACTTAGTCATACTTCAAGTAGATTCTCTGAAATCCTAAGGGTTAATTTATATTATTATTATTATTATTATTATTATTATTATTATTATTAAACATTTCTATGCCGCCCCTTGCCGAAGCCTCGGGGCAGCTCACAACACAATAAAATACATTGAAATACAATAGAACATAATAAATTACCATTAAATACAAAAATACAAAAAATACACTGAGTTACAAACATAATAATATAAAATTAAAATTATCAGTATAAAATAAGTAAATAAATAATATAGGAGGAGAAAAGAGAAGGAAGAAGAAGTTGCCCTGGCCAGATCATATATTTTAACAATTAAAATGATGTTTAAATAAAAACGTCTTTACCTGGTGCCGAAAAACCAGTAACGACGGTGCCAGGCGGACCTCTTTGTAATTTGTAATGATTTCAATGGGATCTACTCAAAAAATGACTAAGTTTGTATCCAACCGAGTCCTGTCTTTGTGCAACCATTTACCCAGCCAGTGTGTGAACAACTAAAGTCCTCCCATTTTCTACTTTGACTGCCTTCTTAATTTTCCCCACCTTGGAACATAGGAAGATGCCTTAGTCAGACCTCGGGTCCATCTAGCCCAGTGTTGCTGAGACCAACTGGCAGCTGCTTAGTGAGGCTTCAAGCAGATTCTTTTTCAGTCCTACCTGGCAATACCAGGGACTGAACCTGGGACTTTCTGCATTCAAAGCACCTTCTCAGGCACTGAGCCCTTCAGATCCCCCGCTGAATTTTAGTAAAGGGGAGGATGTGATTGTATGCCCCACATATGCAACCACCTTGTGGGGCTGCCATTCTGCCGAGGAATTTGGCTCTCCCTAACAGAGGAGTCACGGAATTTGCCTTTTGCTGGATAGTCAGTTAGTCTTCTGCAGTTGAAACACAGTTTGTATTCACAAGAGAAGACGATCTGTTGTGGCTCAGCTTTTGCTTGAGTGGTATTTCAAAAGCGAAACAGATTATTTACATTCATGTGATGGCACCATTTATCATTTCAAGTTATTCTACGGTATCTCTAAACAAAGTATTACAATACAGCTCACTGTACCTGTCAAGATCTAATAGATGCTTCAAAGAACATGAAGCATTCAGCACATGCAAACCCTTTCCCACACCAGATCAAAGGAAGCACTGGTGCTTGTATATTTTACAGTGGCAGAGTTGAAAGAGTTTATGATTTTTTAAAAAAGCAAATGTGGTAGCTATGAACAACAGCACAGTAATGCCAAGTAAAATGATTCATGTCAATCATTAATATTCTTTTTGCACATAAAGCCACAGAAACTAGATGCTAATCAGTTATTTCACACATAAGAAAGACACACATATCCCAATCCTATGCACACTTACCCAGAAGTCCCACTGATTTCAGTGGGGCTTGTGCATAGGAAAGTGTGGACAGGACTCTAGTCCAGGCCCTAAAAACACTTATTGGGCTTTAGAAGTTCTAGTATAGTTTTTAATCTGAACAATCCAAGATGTCTATATATTTAATCAGTAACTCTTTTGTGAATCAGAACTCTTAAGAAGGGGATAATCACTGTCTGTACTCTGCCTTGTGTTATCTTCTGACCTCATTGTTTACAATTCCCCTTCCCTCCCCAGCCATATGGATGTAAACCTGTAATACAGGAATGCACTTCATACATCTATAGCCCACAAATGCTTAACCCATGATGATTTGTTAGACCTTAAGATACCACAAGGCTCCTTGCTTTTGGCTGCAGGGCAGGTGGATACACTGCGGTTAAGCTTCTGAAAACCCTTACAGAAGAATACATACTTATAGTTACAATTGATCCGATTGAAAATCTCTCTCTCTTCCAAGTCTGCTGGATCTCTTCACAGAGATCCATCCATCTGAACTAACTCTTGTGACAGTCAAAAGACCCATGTATTTAAAGAATCTGTCCTGCATGGTGAGGGGAGGGGATTGGTTTTTGTTTTTTTTGTTTGTTTGCTTGCTTCCTTGTTTTACAAAGCTGTAGGCTTTGAATACAGCCATTAATGTTGTCCACACAAGTGGGATTCAGTCCTGGCATGGGCAATAGCCAATTGAGAACTCCAGGGTATGAGGTTGAAAAAGCTTGATTCTCCAGAAAAAGATCTCCGTGCACAAAGTAGGCAAAATGGAAAAACTTCCCTGAGGAAAAACTTCCCTTTTTATAACATTTTAGAGGAATGTAAACAGGCACTGGGATAGATCACAGATCTGCTTCCTTCCTAAACCCATGTATGGACACATCCAGGGAGAAACTTGAGTCTGTCTTTAATTAACTGCAGCAGCAGGAGTGGACCTTAACAAAGTAATGTCAAGTAGTAAGGACAAGTAGAGGTGGAGCAAATTATTTTTACTGCAAGCCACAAACTATGTAAACCAGGAACAGATTAGTAAATAGGTACTTCAGTAGGAACTACTCCCACTTTAGGCTGTGCTTTGCTCTTATTGTAAAACCAGGCTTTTTGAAAACATAATTTAGTTTTATTAGCTCTCAACTGTTGTTTGATTCCTGGCAGGACTAAATTTGTGCTAAGGCTTAGCCAAGTACTTATTTTCAATGCCAGGACTTAATTTAGGAAGATAGGAATTAAGAAGTCCTCAGAATGGTTCAGAATTATTCCATCTTTCGTGGATAACTACCGAATATACTACATACCCCTGCATCTGATGAACTGGACTATAGTCCATGAAAGCTTATGTCACAATAAATGCATTAGTCTTTAAAGAATCTGTGGTTCTTGCTGTAGTAAAATCACAAATTTACCCTTCTGGATTTTCCTACCTATCACGAAATGGAGGGCTTTTCAGATGAGAGTGTCATATTTCCAAACAGCCCCGAAGTATATTTTTCTTGGGAATTAAGCAGAAGTTCCTGCATGCATCTGAATGACAAGAGCAAATAATGTTGCAAGGTTGTCACACATAAGATAGCTGTAACCTGCTCTCTACAAAGACTTTAGGACACAAAATAACAGGCATAAGTTACAGGAAGGAAGTTTTCAGTTGCAAATCAGGAGAACTTCCTAATGGTCACAGCAGTCAGACAATGGACAGAAAAGTTTAGGGAGGAAGACCTCACTGGAGGTCTTCAAGGAGTGACTGGACAGCCATTTGTCATGGATGCTTTGATGTGAGCTCCATCACTGAGCAGGGCATTGGACTTTATGGCCTGAATGGTCCTTCCAATTCTATGATTTGCTCGTGTGTGTGTGTGTGTGTGTGTGTGTGTGTGTGTGAGAGAGAGAGAGAGAGAGAGAGAGAGAGAGAGAGAGAGCGCGCGCGCGCGAGAGCGAGAGCGAGAGCGAGAGCGAGAGCGAGAGCGAGAGCGAGAGCGAGAGCAAGAGAGTAGTTTTGACTGGATAGGGACTGAAAGACACAGAAAGGCATGCTGCGAGTTCCTAATTTGAATTATTTAGGACTTGGGCATGCAGCTTTGGATGCCCTGCCTTGGTGTAGGGCACCCACTCAATTTCAGTATGCTTTGCCTGTATAAACAAAGCAAAGATTTATTTAATGCTGTAAGTCTACAATGCTTTCTCAGAGGGGGAACTTGGTACTACTTGCCCAGTAATTTCTCACCTGTGGGGGAAGTAGAGAACATATAAAAATATTTACTGTGAAATTTTGTGTCAAATTGAAGAAAAGAGGTGATATGATGTGTGGACAGGGTGGAATAGAGGTATGGGAACTTCTTTCTTGTTTGTGGGCTGCTGAAGAGACATGCTGCATGGGACGCTGAATGTCAGAGATGGCTTTCCTCTCCAAAAGACAGTTAACAAGCAAAGAGCAACCACTTCGGCTAACCCCTCTGCCCGCATGCACAGGTTTCCCCTGAGTTCTCCCAGGTCAATATTTCTAAAGGAAAAAACAATTTCTTTCCTTTAAGTTTAAAGCTGCACAATCCATGTGCAATTGTTGTGCAAATAATAACCTTAAAAAAACCAAAACTTTACACAGAAGAAGCAGCAGCCTACAGTTTCATATTTGCTCTAGTAATTTAACTGACACAATGAGAAACATGGCTGATGGGTTGGGAAATGTCATCAGAATTTAAGAATAACAAAAGAATAACAACAACTTTTTGTTGTATTTTAGGCACCAGAGTAACAGCCCAACTTCTTCTGCAGAGCCAGATTTTCTCGGCAAACAAACAAACAAGGTACTGTGAGTTTCAGACTCTAAAATGCCATAAAATCCCTGAATCTACAGTTCTGAAGTATGTTCACGGTAGCTTGGCATAACCATCAGAACATGAAACCGTTAGTGGTGTTTTGAAGTCTTTGAGACAAAAGCCTGCTTGCTAAGAACTTTAGTTCTGTAGAAAGACAGGGAGGTACAGTGAATAAGAGAATCAAAAGGCTGGAAATCTGCTGCTGAGAATAAATGCTCACTGCTCCCAGAGGTGATTTGTCTGTGCACTTCACTTTCTACAGATGTTAGAGCCTCTTTTTTCGTAAGGACCTGAGGTTCTTTGGTAGCACTTTGATATCCTGCTTGAATTCAATATGTGAAATGGAGGAGTCGCTCTGTGACTGGGAGCACAGCACAGGCTTTGAAGTCTGATCCAATTTTTGCTGCTTACCATTTGATGTTGAAAGGATGAAATGAAGAAAATGTACAGTTTTTGCCAGTAACTCTGCTGAGCATATGTAAGATTAAAAAAACAAAATCCCTTGGATGATGTACTTAGAAATGTTAAGCAGATTAATACCTTCCTATAGCCTTTTTTTCTTCTTCTAAAGATACAAATTAACTTTGAGAGGAAAATCAGAATACAGTGTGTGCCATTATTACTCGTTGCCTCTCTGCTGGGGAGGAGAAGTGAATGGGTGGCAGAAAGGAAACAAACAAAAGCTTGCAATACAGGGCCTGAAAACACTGCTGCTCAAGAAACAAGTATGGGGCCTGTAGGCTCACCTATGGAGAAATGCCACAGGGCTCAACAGACTGGACTGATGGGATCACGTCTGAAATGGCTCTAACCCATGTTTCCCCAACATGGGAAACATGGCTTCCAGAGGTTGTGGGGCAATGCCCAGTACTGCTGCTGCACTTATTTATTTTTATTTATTTATTAAAACATTTCTATGCCGCCCCATTCGCCGAAGCCTCGGGGCGGCTCACAACATGAAGTAAAATACAAAAATAACAATATAAAAATAACAATATAAAATACATAACAATATAAAATAAGTCGCCCTGGCCAGATAAAATAAGCAAATACTGTTAACAATTAAAATGATGCTTAAATAAAAAGGTCTTCGCCTGGCGCCGAAACACAAATAACGACGGCGCCAGGCGGACCTCTCTAGGGAGCGCATTCCATTGATTGGGCGCCACCGCAGAGAAAGCCTACCCTCCTGATTTCTTTCACGGAGGGTTCCCGGAGAAGGGCCTCTCCCGCAGATCTCAAGGGGCGGGCAGGCGTATATGGATGTAAGCGCTCCTTCAGGTAACCAGGACCCAAGCCATTTAGGGCTTTATAGGTCATCACCAACACCTTGAATTGGGCCCGGACTTCAATGGGAAGCCAGTGAAGCTGACGGAGGACTGGAGTCATGTGAACATAACACCCAGTCCCTGTCAGCAGCCTGGCAGCTCTATTTTGAACCACTTCTGCTCATTCAGGACCTGCCACTAGTGCAATGGGGAAGCAGCACTTCATAAACGAACCCCATAAATAAGCACAACCACTCATCTCTGTATTGAGACAAGTCAGAGACGCTCCCTTCCACAACCTCCGTCAGCTGGCCCCTTCCATCAATGAGTGTGGCCACTAGCAACGGGTTCACTGGCGCATGGGCAGCCCGTTGACTACACCTCCGAGGATCCCTGCCCAGTAGCCAGGCTGGCTGAAGCTGACTGGGAGTGAAGGTACCAAGTTGAGGGAAGCTGTTCTAAGCAGACTTGGAGCTTATGCAACGAGGCTGTCCAGAAATTCATATTATATTCTCATAAAGCCATACCTACATGTTTTGCTGCCTCCGTGGAATACAAAGATCAGTTTGATTTTCTAAAATAATGTTTCCATTTATTTAAAGAAAAGTTCAGCTGATACTTCAGTATCTCCAGTCGTTCTAAGGCATTCAGACCAAATGAAGGATTTGCAGCCCCACAGCCAGTCCAACACAGCTGCAAATCCCCACGCCGCATGTGTACCAAGATCACAGGCAGCACAAGGTAAGAAAGAGAATACTCTGCAAAATTTTGGAGAAATCCTTCAACTCAGGATTTTTTTTTACAAAGTTCCCTGGAAACTTCGGTGGGCAATGTGCAGCAGAGTCTGAATTATCCTGTGAGATCTTTTTCAGCTTTTACCAAGAGAACGGAACTCTGTCCCTGCCCACCATTTTTGCCTATGATAATTGTAATTATGGTTAGCTCAGGCAGTAGCTTAAGGGTTTGTCCTTCGGATATATATAATGTCTTCAGGATCATCTACTCCCACATTATTTTGCCTGAATTCTGAGATACCCTAGGTCTCTTTCCTCACCCATCCTGAGGGAATGTGGGTGGTGACTGGGGAAATGGCCTTTTCAGTTGTGGCCCCTGTTTTTCAAACATTCTCTTCAGAGGGACCTGCTTGGCACTGAGCCTTTTAACCTTTTGGCCCCATGGCCAGACAAAGACCTTTTAATTCATGCTGATCTTTAATTTCTTGATCTGATTTTACTGAGTTGTTACTATCTTCTCTGTTGTTGTTTTAGTATTCAACTGTGATGCTGTTACCTTTTTAATTTTTATTTCTGGCAATCTGAACCACCCTGAGAATCTGTGCTCAAGAATGAGATACTGCATTTTATATATATTCACATCACAAAGAAAAGCTTTTTGGTCTTCAGGTATCCTATGTGTACAACTCATGGCCAGGTCACCTCCACCCCCCACCAACATTTCGTGGAAAATCCGCAGTTTATTAATTTCAAGTGAATGAATATTTTTTGTTTGAAGCCAATTTTCTGTTCTGTGTCCAAAGGAATTCCTCCTAAGAAAATTGTATTTGTCCGTTTCATTTTATTAATTTATTACATATATACTCCACCGTTCCTCCACAGAGCTCGGGGCGGTGGATTTGATTTTTTTCTCCTTTTATCACAACAGCCCTGTGTGGTAGATTAGGCTGAGATACAGTGACCGACTCAGAGGCACCCCGGGAGCTTCATGACCAAGTAGGGATTTGAAGCTGACTCCTGAGTTCCTGCCCGAGATGCTAATCGTGGTATCACAGTGGTTCTCAGTGTAGTTCTCAGGTGTGCGTGTTTGCAGGAGCAGGGCACAGACCTTGCAGCTGAGGCAGAACAACATCAGGGACAAGACACTGAGGATGGCAGCCCACTAAGGCAGGCACTGCCGAAGCAAAGCAGGAGACCAAACCAACCACACAGGCTGAGCTTAGAAACACAGCATACATGCACATCATCCGTGATGAGCCAACATCTGTCACTAAAGATTTAGCCTTGATGGAGTGTGTGGAGAAACAAAATGCAAAGTGCCTAAAGAGAGTACAGAATGGCTTTGTACAAGATGATAGGAAGGAGCTGCAGGGAGGGGGAACTTTGAGAGAAGCTCAGGAGCCAACTAGGGCAACCTCTTGCTCTGCCAAAAACTCCAGTTGCTCTGGAAGGGCAACCAGGGGTTCGCAGCAGCCAGTCACTTCCTTGTAGTCAGACTGATCTAATCCAAGCTTCAGACCTAGAAGACAAGGAAAGCCAGTGTGCTGTAGTGATTAAGAGTGTAGAAATGAGATGCAGGCAATCTGGGTTCTAGTCCCCACTCAGCCATGGAGCCAACTGGGTGACTTTGGGCCACTCACAGATGCTCAGCCCAACCCACCTCACAGGGTTCTTGTTGAGAGGAGGAGGAGAGTTATATAACCCACCTTGGGTTCCTTGGAAGGAAAAAAAGGCAGGCGATAAATGTAATAAATAAATGGAAGTCTGCCAGCCAAAGCCTGGTACAAAGGACATACGTACATTTAGCAAGGGAGGCTGGCAGCTCCTGTGTCAGTGGGGTTCCTTACCCATTGCAGCTTTAATATTTATTTATTTATTTATTTATTAAAACATTTTTATGCCGCCCCATTCGCCGAAACCTCGGGGCGGCTTACAACAAAAAGATTAAAATAACATTTTAAAATATATACAATAAAATACAAATATATAATATAAAACATACACTATAAAACAAGCCGCCCCTGCCACTTAGAATTGGCAGGAATGATTGATGGTGCTCCCTGATGGTGAAGCTATTCTGTGGGTAGAGCGTGGCATCATGGATAGTTCCTGTAGAGCATAGAATCAAAACTGTGGTGGATAAAGAGTCTCACTAACATAGCCGCCCCTGCCACTTAGAATTAAAGGTTTGGAGGCCAAGAATTTTATTTTCAGTGCCAGAACTGAATGGAGCTTGTGGGCCTTACACACACACACACACACACACAATCTATTCCTGGTGGCCTGAAGATTTCTTCATTTCAAGCAGTTCCATTGAAGGTGGGAGGAGAGTGAGCTGCTGTGTTCTTAGCAGCAACTTTTTGCCATTCAGAAACCCTCACCAGGTGACCGCAGATCAACCACAGATGTACCAACAGATCCTGCTGCCCCTCTGAACTGACAGCACTCATATATTGAAATGACCCACTAGATCAGTTCTGCAGGAGTAGATCATATATACCAGGGGTGGCCAGCCTTGCTCAGTGGAAGATAAGCATACAGTAAATGTCCAATGTTTGAGAGCTGCAACCAGGTGCCTGGGGGCAGCAAGGATGGGTGGCGAGCAGCAAAATTTGGGCCAAAGAGCTGCATGCGGCTCCCACACTTCAGTTTGGCCACACCTGATATATACTGTTGCCCCCAGCAGCTGCCTGTGTTTGATAAATGTTTTTATTTACCCAAATCACTCAAATTTATTTGTTTGTTTATTTGAAATTTTTAACTACTCCTACCCTTTACCAAAATGGAAATGAGGGCTTTTATAGCAAATACAATGCAGAGAAGCTGAAAGAAATTTAACTAAAACAGTCCACCAAACGACATCATAAGCAGCAGATAAAAAACCCAAAATGTAGATGAAGTAAATGCCATGGACTCATTTTATTAATATTTGCAATGTTAAAATCAGTGAAGACACAAATTGTAAGGAGGAAGAGAGGGTGTGGTT